TCAATTTTTATATTTAATATTTTTAAATGGCAGAAAAATAAACTGATAAATAAATATTGAAAATATATTTATTTATTTGGAATTAAAATAAGTAAATTAACTTTATTTAAAAAAACTGTAAATTTTAATTTTTTAAATATAAAATTTTGTTAAATTTTCAATATTTTGTATATTATATAATAAATATTGTTAGTTTATTATTTGAGTATGATTACATCGGTTATTTGTTATATGTTATTAGTATTATTATTTTGGTAGAGGTTTTAATAATTTGGAGACGAGTGCGTGTACGAATGTGGAGATCTAAAAAGGAAAGGAACTTACATTTATTCAAGAGTGCGTGGTCGCCGCCGCTGCCGCCCCCGCCGATCTTCGGGATCCCAGTGGGTGTCGCTCTGCAGAGGATGTGGCGTTGTCGGCAGCGTGAAAGCGACTGAACTAAAGACACCGGCTGCATGGTACATATCTGATACTGATTACCGATCCTGCAGAGGTTCGCGCATAAGCACTGGACACCTGCTGGAGTCCTTTTCGAGGACTCCGTGCACTAACAAAGAGGCCAGGAGGGATGAAGGGAACACACCAGAGAGAGAGAGACTCCCCCGCCCGTTCCTCCGAACCTCCCTTCAACCCTAGGCACGACAACGCCGCCGACGACGTCGTCTTCATTTTCCCATTCCACCGATTCCACCTCACGCCACACTCTCATACCCTGACTGCACTTTCATCCCACCAACCCACATACATACACACAGCTACCAAAGCCTCGCCAGATTATTACTTGCCTTTGTATATACGTATATATCAACATACACACAAATAAACTCAAAAAAGTCTTCTACCAAAGCATCAACAATCATAAATTCACCAATGTTTTTATTAATAGAATAATATATAGTCAATCCAATTTGACCACATAATTAAATTATAATCCAATCTACTCAGTATTACTTAACATGATATTACTAACAATTTAAATTAAATTTTTATATGCTAAATTAAAAAATTGTAAGCGAATGTTTATTATGAGGTTTTATCTTTACTTATTATAAATCAGCGTTTCCCAACCTTTTAGCCGTGTAACCCAACATATTTGTTTGTAGTTGTACTGCAACCCAATTGCTAAGAGTTTATCATCAGATGGTGTTCTTGCATTATGTAGATGTTAAAAAAGAAGACTTTGAACAATATCTATTAGATTATTTTTTTAAAAATAGTTGTTTTTTGGATTTATCTCATTTATATTTATATTATATCAAATATATGAAAATGAAGTAATATAATCATTGAGTTAAAATATCTACATTTTAAATCCAATGTTAATCTGATAATTCGCTCTGTTTCTACAACAGGTATATTATGTAATCAGCGCAGAGGGTGTCGCGGAGGATTTGGGTCGGTCAGGGCGGATAAAAACAACAAAAATCTGCTACAGGTTGCGAACAAATGTATTTACAGATGGTATTCATTGAAAAAAAATTAAATGTTCATTTGCAAATTCATATTGGCCCAATTTGGAAAAAAAAGTCAGGAGTTTCTTTAATTTTGATTTGGCTTTATCATTTATTCAATTAAAAGAATCTATGATTTTTTCATTTGACTCATAATAGAAGTTCAATATTGATCGACAAGAATCATTATTAAATAAGCGCTTTTTATAATTAACAATTTATTGATTTTAAAGTGGAACAATTTTAAGTATATTTGCTTAAAATATATAATTTATAAAATAGTTTTATTTTTTTTTTTGAAAAATTAATAATATTGCGATAATCAATAGAAATTTAGTTTTTGTTTAAAGACAATACAAACAAATAAATTCTATAGGTATAGAAAACTAGGCAAGTAATTTAAGTGTCTAATAGTACTATATTGGAACATATATAATCTACTCACTACTCGTCAAGTAAAAGTGAAGTTTGAGCGTTCCTCCCACATCATATAAAACAGCGGTCGTTAACTGGTGTCCTTAGAATAATTTGAATATACAGTGGAACCTCGCATAACGATTATTTTGCTTAACGAGTAAAATTAATTATAAAAAAAATGACTCGCTTAACGAGCGACGTTTCGCATAACGAGTGACGATGACAAAAGAAGTCCCGGACATATTATGTCCGGGATATGAGTATGAGTAAAAATCCGGAAATTTTGTTAAGCGAGGTTCCACTGTATATGCATTCTGTTTTTTTTTTGTATTCTGAATCAACATTTTTCTTGAATCTGAATCAACATTAATTTTCGCATTATCACCATACATATTCAGAATTTAAAATTTTGAGTTTATTGATCCATAAGCTCATAAGCTATAAAACAGCTGTCGTCAACCTTTTTGACCTCACAGATTAGTGGTCTATGAGGTCAACTCAATATATTGAATCTCACTAAACTCAAAATTTTAAATCCCACGGACAACAACCATAACGTTTTTCCATAAAAATGAGATTCAAGATATGAAATCATAGGTACACTTCTTTTTACATTGGATCTTTTATAAACATGCTACTTAATAAGGCAAAAAAGTAGAATCGTAGAATCAGAATTCAATATAAACAAAAATTGCAAATATATTCAATTATTAACATTAATTAAATAATATAATCATTTTATTAATCAACAAATTATGTTTTCTTCTGCATATTTTGAACTATGAACAACTTATTATTATTATAATTTAGTATATGTATTGCCGTAGCAAGTAAATAATTGAAATAACAAATTGTCGATGGATGTCTTCATTTTATGATGTGAAAGTATATGCGATGAGTTTGTTTTGTGAATCGTGAGGAATATGTAGACACATTAATTTCCGGGCTATCGAAAGTATGCGCCCAGTGTCCATATAGATGTAGCGTCGCGACGCCTATAGCTCACTAGTTGTCATTGCATTCTGAGTTGCAGTTGCAGCCACCGTTTTGTTACTGACGACAGATCCAATCACAAAGAGCCGATCACATCACACCCTTAACTGAAAAATTAAATTGAGTTTAAAATTAACAAAGTCAATATTTAAAAAAAAAAGAATTACGTTTTAACTATTTTCTTAATTATAAAAATAACATTATAATTCGTTGATAAATATCCAATTATAGAATTACATTTCACAGTTGTTAACAGAAGTATCTGTTTACTTACATTAATTTATATAATAAAAATTGCATTTCAAAAAATTGATAATAAGATAAGATTCCCCAAAGGAAAGATATATACATTTTCTAATATTTGTGGATTATATATTAGTATTAGAATAAATAAGCATTTCCAACGTACTTTGATATATTTACTGTTGCAATAAAAAAAAAACATTTTCGTATATAACAAATTTGCTCATCAAATTTGCCGAATGTCATGATTTGGTTGCATAACCTATGGGATTGGTGGTAACAAAAAGTCTACCGTGAACTACGGTGCTACCTAAAATATGAAATGTCGTCTATATGATTTGGCGAATATGGTGGATCATCATCATCATCAACTCTTATATGTCTACGTTTAAATTCTAAAGTCCATCTGTGGACAGTTGAAAATGAATGAGAAGATTGTTTTAATACATTTATCATCTTGGTATGAACGGTAGTCGTGTTTTTTCCAACTTAGAAACCTGCACAGAGACGTTCACTACTTTAAATGACTGGTAAACAACAATTGACAAACTGATTAAAATAAAAAACATAATCTGTGATAGATGATATAATTAAATGGCGGAGAAATTTTGGTTTTATTATTGGTTTTTATGTGTCGCTTTCAAAAAATTTCAAACTGCCCTCGTATTGTCTATTGAAACTTAACAATTATAGAATCAGAACAATGAATAGTTTATGAAAGGACATCATTTGCAGATGTCAGGATTGAATAGTATAATTTCATATGTATAATTACAAAATTCTTGTATTTTCGAGAACAAAATTAGTTGAACCGTACATGCACTGCTGTATTTCAAATCAATTCTGTTTGTATTATAGCCAAATCGATTTCTTCGGAGAACTCAGTTTGCAACTAAATATTTGAAAAGACAATGTTAGGAGAAACACGACTACCTTATAGACTTATAAACTATTATATAAAATGAATAGATTGGAATGATGTTTCGATTGGTATGAAGAAATAAAAATTGTAACATTTTGTAAATATATTGAATATAATAATTTATATTTAATTAAACTTGAATCGTTGTAACGTACTCTGATAGATGTATTAAACTTTATATTGAGGCTCAATTAAAATGTAGTTTGTTTTGAAATTTCCAAATCGAACTAAAATAATCTAAAACAAACAATGGAAATTATTGCTGTATTTACGACTGTTGTCAATAATTAAAAAATAAATATCAATTAAATTATTTTATTATATTCGGAATGAAATAATATAAATAGATACATAATAATTCTTTTATATATAAATCTTAATTACATAAAATTCCCGCTTTCTTCATATATATAAACCACAATCTAACAAACTGCGTCTACTTACATTTACACTACATATTACTTATTGCTATATGTTTTACTTTGTTTGGCACAATCGTTGGAAACAAAAAATAAATTATGAAAACACCCAATAGGACGTCTTCGCTTATTGCTATGTATTTTAATTATTTGTTATCAGTGAAATAATAAAATATGGACTAGAATTAGAACTAGAATAGGTATAAAGTAAACGTTGCTTGGACAAATCACAGCAGCGACGTTTTAAAGGGACGAAAAATCTGTTGCATCTAAAAATACTCTCTACTTTCGTTTCGTAAATCTCTTAAGAATGTTTAAAATCAGTGCTTTTCAAACTTCGACTCGTCGTCGTTATTTTATTTAACTGCTATAATGTGTTTTAAAACTGTACTTGAGCTGAGATGAACAGTTAAAAATATCAGATGAATTATCATCTTTGATCAATCTTAAATATTATTTGTATTTGTAAATAAATTTACTTTCTGTCTAATGTTTACTTTAATTCAATTCATATTTGAAATTGATCGAAAAGAATCAGTTTGAAAAAGACTGGTTTAAAATCAAATCGTGAATTAGTAGTTGGTTAATATTTTTTGTACATTATTTGCTTTGAATGTTTGTTATTGACATTCAAATACACTTAAGTGTATAATGCTGCAACCACGCTACGAATTACTTGACAGTCAGGCGTATCAAGTACTGTGTCAGCTTGTTGTAGGTTGGTACACCTTTTATGTTTGATGTCATGCATAGTGTGGAAGTAGCATAAGGTCTGGAGTAGTATAAAATAAATGTTTGTGAGTATTTAGCGCTATAGGGGATTGCCAGAAGAAGCGCTCGAACTGCCTTCGTTCCTGCCTTCCTCCTGCTGCTGCTGCAAAAATTTGGCGGCCGCAGGGAACCCTTGAAGGTCGAAACCCGGAGGAGCAACGATTGCTGCCGTGCTCGCAGTTCCTTGCAAATAAGCAATCAGTCGTTTCATTTCCTCCAAGGCATTCGCCTGCATTAGAATGTAATTCTTCGCCAGTAAAAGTGTTGCGATTTTGGACAACTTTCTAACGGACGGTGAATGGGCGTACGGGATTACGGATCGCAGCTCGTCGAGAGCATCGTTTAAATCGTGCATTCTCCTCCTTTCCCTGGCATTGATGTTCAAACGAACAGATTTACCCTGCCTGTTCTTGCCTTTACCGCCTTGCACTACTTGAGAATTGGGCATCGTCCGATTCTGTGGTGACCTAAAAGTATATAACTCGATTAAAAATCTATATTCATTTAGAAATGTTAGATTCTCACCTGCTCTGCGGTGGTCCCGCTGGATCCGGGTTGTTTTCATCGGATGGGGGTCCTTGAAATTGGAATCCTCCGAGTCCCACAGCTCCCAGGGGCGTTCGTCGTCCTGGGATCTGACTTTCCTCATTGGAATGGTGGGCGAAGGGTGTAAAACCCACTGGTTCCATATTAGAACTACTTGGTCCTCCCGCACTTGATGAAGCTCCCTTAAATTTTGAATTTGATTTTGAATTACCGCCTCATCTTTGCATTTTATTAAATATTACCGATTGAGGCCAACCCCAGCTAGGGGTGGCGTTTCCGCGCAACCACTGCGGGGGTGCAGCTATCGCTCGCGAGATGGGGTAAATCGAGGGCTCATCACCTTCCGAAGATGATTCGCATTCAAATGACTTCATTTTATTTATCGCGATTTATTATTTTGTCCCACAGATTTCACCACCTTAAATACACTTCATTTAACTAAAACCAATATTTCATTTCATATAATATTATTTCAAAATTTTCAAATAAATAATATTATTTACAAAAATAGATTACTTCTAATATAGATAGTGAACTTTAGTATTTTTATTTTACTTACTATAAATAGTAGAATATTAATAGATACACTTAAAAATAATATATCTAAATCACGATTTAATGCATTTGTAATTACAATAACTTCATATCAGAAATTCATAATATGATTTGTATTTCTTTCTTCATAGTATTATCACGTACTTTATTTTGTGGGTTAATAGGATATCATCTATTTGTTAAAATTTAATTGGAAGATTAGTATCTTAAATCAATTGATTTGCGCTGATAAAATAAACGATCTTCGGAATTGTTTAGCACAGAAATCATCACTTAAACATTTGTTCACTTCTGTTGTCTGCACTTTTCACTTAAACACATTTTTCTTGTGGTGCTTCCAAACTTGCTCCACGATTAAATAAACTTTTAATATAGCCGCAATCACGGCGTTAGGAACGTTAAATGCCCGCACGCCAAAATGTGACAGATGCGACCCCATGGACCCAAAGCGCAAGGGGTGAAAAACCAGTGGCGGACCTAAATACTATTTGATATGCTGTACAGCATAAAGTCAAACGTTATTTTATTGTATGAATATTTATTTTCTATTTAAATTTTATTTATAAATATTTATTTTTATACCTAAATAAATTATTTATATAACTTTACATTATATTACTATATATTTATTCTAATAGTTTTATTTTATTTATCGTTTTATGAAAATAAATATGAAATAGAAAAATTGGGCAAATACACTTTGGTCCATTTTGCGTTCAAATTAGGTCGAAAAAAATTGTTGAGTTAATAAAAATGTATAGATTTTTAATTTATAACATAATTATTATGAAACAATTTAAATTATAAATAAAAAAATCGTTAATAGTAGATGAATAAATGAAAGAAAGTATCGAATAATATTAAAATAATTCTATAATTAATTTAAGCAAATTATTGTCTTCTTCCATTATAATTTTTATATTATAATAGATAATCAATTCATGATCAATAGACATATATAAAAGTAACGATTTTTTAATTATTATGTGTAAATTGTCAAATGTATGTTACGCCACTGGTGGCCAGATTATGGTTTTATTATTGCAATCCACCCCTAAACGGCAACTAGCATTAAAGAGAACAAAAGATAAAGCCGTTTCTATAGCGACGAGTTTCAGCTGGGGGTGGAATGAGAATGGCTGTTCACTGCTGCCCTCTGTAAATTACAGTTTCCTTCCGTACATGTCAACATCATGAATGCAAAAGGATACAACTTGAAATAATTAATACTAGTGTATGATAGTTTACCCTACTTCATACATGTATGGAATTCAACAAAATTTACATTTTCATACATATTTAAAAAAAATCTTAATATATTTATTAAATTTTGAAATGGTTAAACAATTTTATGTAATGAAAATTGTTAAAAATTACTATTTCAAAAGTTTATAATTTAAATAATCTATATTAACATAAATAACTGTTAAATAATTGTTACTTCATAAGAAAATTAATACAAGAATTGTATTGTTTTTAAATTAAAATATTTGCACAAAATTTACTAAAACATGTATTCCTTATTAACAATCATTAAAATCTTTGTTTTCTAAATAATTGTTTCTATTTATTAGACACAAACATTACAAAAGAACAATCAAACGAGGTCTTTTCGCCCGCAAATTATTTGAATTGAAAAATATTTATGTACTAATAAATAAAAAGAATTTGTCAGAAGTGGGATTCGAACCCACGCCCTCAGTTGAGGACCAGAACGCTCATTGACCTGTTTGACAGGCAAGGTGAAACCTTGAGTCTGGCGCCTTAGACCGCTCGGCCATCCTGACATATAACATAGAGCCGACGTATATCAATATACATTACATTTAAGTGGAATATAAATAGGATATCTATTTACCTCTAGATGGCACATGTTGTTGGACTTTATATATTTAATTATGTAACAGTGCGCCTGCTATATGAAGATTGAAGAAAGAAGAATTATGTAACACTGATCTGATCAATTCGTATACTGTTGAACCTCGGTTGACGAAAACAATTTGTTCGAAAACCGAGACCATGTAAATTAATTAATTAAAGAAACCTCTATTAATAAATCATGCATAAAATCGTATTCAAATACAGTGGAACCTTGCGTAACGAGTTTAATCCGTTCCAAAATTTCCGGTTTTTTACTCATATAATGAAATACTCGTATAGTGAAACATATTAAAAAATACACATAATATGTGTACACAAGTTTTAAAAATTATGTAGCAGGTGCGCAATCCGGGACTTCTCTTCTCATCGTTATACGAAACGTCGCTCATTAAGCGAAATACTCGTTATGCGAGTTTGTCGTTAGGCGAGGTTATACTGCACTTACAAAATATATGGAATATTAAGCAATATTTTATGCAACAACTCTACAAAAAAAACATTAATTGTTATAACAAAAAACGTACTCTTTTCAACACGCTTTACAATAAATATTTGAAAAGAACAAGATTTACAGAACAATTTGGAATGTCTTGAAGAATATAAATACTGTTACGTTTATGGTCGCTGCGCGCGTTATTAATTAAGTATACAGTGGAACCTCGCATAACGAGCATTTTGCTTAACGAGCAAAATGAATTGTAAGAAAAAGGACTTGCTTAACGAGCGACGTTTTGCATAACGAGTGACGATGTGAAGAGATGTGAGCATTATACATAATTTTTAAAACTTGTGTTCACATATTATGTGTATTTTTGAATCTTGCAAAACACACATGTATTGTGTCCAATCATTATTATAATATATAAACACACTATGTTCGCTTTTTTATATAAAAAAATATTAAAAGTGAACTCACTTCACCGTGTGTGAATTGGAAAACAGTTCCTAGTGTTAGTGATCATTATACTTGCATCTTAGAGTTGTTTGTCATCACAAAATTTCCAAACTTGTGTTCAGAGATGTTATTTGTGTTTTCTTTTGTGCACAATTTAATAACTATAATATGAAAAGCAAAATCATTAACAATTGAGACCAAGTTATATTTCTTTTCCGGCAAGGAACGTAATTTACATTAGTTTATATGGGAAAACGTGTTTCATTATACGAGTATTTCACTATACGAGTAAAAATCCAGAAATTTTGGAACGGATTAAACTCGTTAAGCGAGGTTCCACTGTATCTGTATTTACCAGCGTTGTAAACAATGTAAGTGGTTTTCTGGAAGTTTGCTAAACTAATTATTGTCGGGACAGAATATTTATGTGATTAACGGTGGATCGCGTTGAGTAATTTCAAGTCACGTCGGCACACATTAAATGCGTTCATACCAAATCAGATGGGCTTAAATTAGATTACGCTATTGTTTGGTTGAGTGACGGACAATTAGCTAGACGAATATGATACGCACATTAAGATCGCCGATTTAAGTAGCGTCATGGAGAAATACATTTCGCGTTAGGGAGGATGGAGGAGGCGTCGATCGTTTTCGAAGGGCGTTGGAGAAAAGCCCTCCTTAACGCGTGACCCTTGAAGCGTGCAATGTTTCTCACGGACCAGCGATACATAAATAATAAAGGGCTGTAGAGATGAATGCGTCCGCCGCAGTAAATATCACGAGTGTGAATTGAAATGTTGATTGATCGAAGAACTTCTCCATCTATTAAAGTCGCATCACAATATTTGTGCATTCATGCGGCGTGCGTTGGTCTGGATGACAGATAAAAGAATGCGAGATGGTGAAGGAGACCCGAAGAAAAGCGATTTGTTAAAGGTCGCCGATGCGAACTCTGGAAAGTGTTCAGATGTATACGTATATACGTGTACAACTGTATATACGTATAGAAAATGCATGGGAGTCTGTGTTGGTGCGGGGGATGGCTGAGGCTACAGGCGTGGGGTGTTCAGGGCGTAGTCATCCCGTTTGATTGTTATTGATCTCGCGCACGCGTTTCTACGGCGACTACAGATACACAGCATCACCTACGCGCGCCACTAACCAGGTGCATGTTTACACATCCTCATATCGGCCAAAAACAACCCCCATCGATATACGTTAAATCACATCCAACACGCAAACACACCCCAAAATACCTGAATTTATGCTATATCTTATAACATCTATCCTTTTTCAATTATCATTCCTTAACAAAAATATTCATTCAGCTAAAGTTATATTTATATAATATAGAATAACAAAAAAACATTAAGTAATTTATTTTCTAGGATTGTCTTCTATTAGGAAAACTGTATCAAATTTGATGTTTTGAAGTGATTATATATTATACATACCAGCACACCGGTTCTAATTGAACAATTTTAATAATACACGAAATTTGTTATAATTACTAGCGTTTGGCAATGTGATTTGCAGCTGCAACTTCAACTTTATTATTCTCTTATCAAGTCTTACTTACAGTTAAACTTATACTTTTCGTGGCCTTTTTGCGATTGTTTGAATGTTCAAATCCGTTGTAATTTATCGTGTCTCACAAAGTGTCGTGCATAGCAAGGGTAGACGTTTACTTATCCCCGAAAAAATATTTGAATTGATTTTCCAATCATTACTATCCAAAATATTTTTGGTTCTTTTTGATGTATCTTTTAAATATATATACAATATTGAAATTTTTAGATTAGATTCTGTCTTTAAAATTTTGTGATAATATAAACCGATCTTAGAAATTAACTGCCGTTTTCATGTTTCGTTCCAACTGGTATTTCAATAAAACTCACAAAGTGAAGATAAATTAGGTATCCGAAAATATTCTGGAAGCATTCCAAACACCTGCAGGCTCGCATAGTCAGGATTGTATCTATCACATATAAACCATCCCTTGTGCTATTGCTATTTCCATCTAACTCATACACTTATCTATCATGTTTTATATCAATTTTGTTAGTTGAAACGCAAATGAGAGAGTATTGTAAAATTCTAGTAATACATGATTTTGTAAATAAACCCTATCCCAAAGACAATCAGCTGAGTTTGATTGTCTGAAATTATCTTAAACTTTTTGAAGTATAACTTTCTATATGACAATTTGCCTTTCAGTGCAATGTAATGAATATTTTAAAAAGAATCCATCGATGTACTTATTATGTTATAATCTACAATTTTTCTTTTATTATGACTGTGAAACATATATAAAATTGACTTATTGGTCTGAATCTGAATTTTTAAATGGGATTTTCCCTTTCCAACCCACATTATTAATCCACATCCCGAGCTTCGAACGCATTTCAGCTTTCCCTTTCTTTTTCACATCAAAACCCCCAAGTCACCACTTCTTCATATATTCTACATTTTTTATACCGCCTTTCGTTTTGCAAACATCCCTTTCTCCTTAGCGCGCACTCTCTTTCTTCATCCCCCCAATCGGATTCGATCCATAATTCATCTCGCAACCTTTGCTCAAACGTATTACAAAGCGGAATATTAAATTTTTAATTAACTAGATTAATTTCGGCTTGTTTGCATAATTTTATTATTTCAGCTTGAATTGCCATTTTTCTTCGCATCTTTTTATAGGATTTTATCTTTTAGCATCAATGTTTGTCTATTTGGTCACAGACCTATAAACTTGAAGAGCAAATCATTGTTATTTTGATGTTTTATGCTACAATTAAGCAAAAGCTATACAGAAAAAAGAAAAAGTTTAATGAGGAATGAATACTGATAAAAATGGATTTGATCTTGTCGAAAGATAAAGCGCTAGGAAGCAGTGACCCTATTACTTGTTCAACTTTGACAGCTTATTTCATTTACTAATCTCGTAAAGGGTGCTTTGAAAAGCCTATAGATTTATCTTTAATTAGAGTATTAATTGATGTTTGTGTGAAATGATAAAATGTATATAGGGTTAAAATACATTTGTTCAAATTTGACAGCTTATTATAAAACCGTAATAGCTATAAATCTCTCATAGGCCTTCCTATAGATATATCTTTTTAAGTTTTATTAAAAATAAGAAGAAATATATATGGTGAGGAAATTGAGGCACTAGGAAAGACAAATCTATATAAACCTATAGACTAACTAAACCTAGTAATTATAAATAACCCAGATAAAATAGGTTTAGTTATTTTGTTAATGAGTTGGTTTTGTCAGTATTCAAGTAATGAGGTTACTTTTTGCAATATACAAGAATGCATTATTGAAGTCTACCATTCTGCATGTAGTAAAATTAACAAAGTTGTCTGTATTTCGAATTGTTTTTTTTGTTGCAGACAACAACACATAATATAAAATGGATGATTGGAAATTGTGCTGTACTAACAAATGGATTGGAGCGATATAGAAAATGTGCACGCATGTGGCGGATGAGCGAGATGCAATGGAAGCGGAAGTGGGTGTAAACTGTAACAACAAACTGCAATAGGGAATGCTGTTTCTCGTGAATAAGAGAGGAACAGATCGGAACCAGAGAAAGACATTAACACAAGTGGGAAAGGGATGGCTAATACCGGGACTATTCATCTGGGCGCGATGGAAATTGAATCCAGTGCAACAGAAAGGGAGCAACCTCTCTCGCAAATTTCCGCACGCAAAACTTGTTTTGTGCATCGGAAAGAGATGGATCGAGGGCTCGTTGCAGGTGGCTGAGAGAGACGCTCGATCGCAGCCCCAGATGGTTTCCATGGTTACGATCCAGGAACGTGACGTCAAACGGACTAAAGCTCGATTACGGTGACGGGGAGCTTTATGTACGCGAGATTAATTCGCGTAATTAGCAATTAAGTAATTTCGCGCAGACGGGCAGACACGACCGCATTACATCACCGCAGACCGTCCTTCACTCGGACAGCGACCATTCCTCACGCAAAATATTTAAATTGCCGTTCTTTT